TTTCGATCGGAATAGTCAATTTTGCATTGAAATCAAGTCATTGATAATAAACAAATTGACATTTCAAAATATATGCATCAAGACAGTCGGTTTAATTTGGCTCATATCCCGTAATTGCGTCAAAACACTGGCAAACTGCAGCAATTATAATGCATTTGCTGCCCACGTATATTTTTTCATCCGTGAATATCTGCCAAAAGTAACACCTTCCTTATAATCGAAATATAACACAAAAATTATAATGGAAAAATGACTCTAGCTGTAAATGCATTAATCATATACTGTCTTTGATTTAAAAATAAAGAATTTGCGTTTTTGACAGGCAGTTGAACGAAGATACCAATTAATTGTTTTATTATTTATTTTTGAATAGCAATTAGAACTTAACAGTTCTGTGAACTGTTACTAATGACTTCTTCACAAAATCACTTTTCAGAAGACAGGTTGGTCTATCCATATTTGATATTTTTATTAGGTTTTTTATTGCTGATGATATATTTTTAATTAGATACCAGTGAAGAATATTATCACTCGAAAACATATTATGAACTGATTAATACTGTAAAAGTAGTTACTCGTGCCATATAATTCCATACATATACCTAATTTATAAGCACTAGTATAGTAATTTTTAGAAAATGTCATCTCCTATCTTAAAAAAAACTGTCAAATGTTGCTGGATATCTTGCAAAATGTAATTCAAATTTGATTTTGTTATTTTTCTTTTCAGAATATTCTCACAAAGCAAATTGTTTATTTACAAGCCATATAATTATTATTTTTTTTATCTTTTGCTAAGATGATTATATAATAGTTTATTGCTCTTGTAAATTATATTGACATCATGGTATTACAGTATTACTCAAGAAATAGCAAATTTTGTGCGAACACAAATAGAAATTTTCAGCCTTGTGCCGTATTTTCTCAAAATATAATGTTCTAAAAATATAAGGAGTACACAGTTTATATAGTACATAGTTTCAGCGGTGATTTTCTAGCCAAAACTAATATATATGTAAAAGAACTAATAAAATAATGAATAATTATAAATAAATAATTAGTTTGAGAAAATATTAAAATTCGAATTCATTCACTTTTTCATAAAACCACTTACGAAAAAACAATTAAAAATAACGTCACAACTAAAAAAATGTATTAAATGCGTTTACTAGTGCTATGTTAACACTTTTTGCTAAAAATCAGTTAAAATCTCATTATTATCAAAATTTAAAAAAAATCAAAGGCAGTATGGTTTGATTTTCTTACATAAAAATGAGAATACACGCCCATGTTCATTGATAGATTTGCTTCAACGTTTTGAATTTTTTTCCACAAATAATTTACAAATAATTTTTTAAAAATTTGTTTGATAGAATGAAATGAAAAACGTAGAAAACTAAACAGTAGGATAAACAAAAAACATAAAAAAGACACATGAACAAAAATAAAAGTATAAATTAGGTCTATTTTGAACATTTGTATAAAAAGTCAAAAATATAAC